TGTTCCGCGATTTCGGATCTTTCCGTATCCATGTTCCTGCAGAGTCTTTGATATTCCTTGATTCGTAGGCCGATTTTTTTTGCTGTTTCAACAAATTACTTCTGCTCGCAGTTGCCTCATTTGATGCGATAAACTCCTGAGCAATCAAGTTTGTCAGTCTTATCATATTGCGTCGGCAGACTGGTGAAAAGTGTTTTTTACTTTTTTATCACTTTGATATTCCATTTCATTAGTAACAGTCGCAATTTTTGGCTCAGTTCTGATGAGAGCAAGCAAATCCATTTCTGGCGTCCTCCTGATTCTTGATCTGATTTTCCTAAAATCCGAGTTGAAATCTGCCCTTCATTACCCGTACATTTTTTTTCTATAAATTTTCTGGGGTACCCGTTACTAAGTCAAATCCGTGTCAGTTTGTTCAGCTCCTCGTCCCAGAACTCTGTGTCCGTGAGTCGTAAGCTTCAGATGATCAAACTCCTCAGTATTCCTATCTTCAGTCTATAGTTATGATGAGACTGAAATGTAAGGATTATTCCTGCATAATCCTTTCTGTATAGTCTCCTCATGAGGGTCCCGTTGGAGCGCATGACTTCAATATGCAGAAAGGGTCGTCGTTCATCCTCCTCCATCTCCATTGTGTATTTAATTCTTTCATCAAGTTGGTTAATGAAATTGAGGAATTCATTTAGATTTTCCTTGCCATGTGAGTAAAGTGCAAATTAGTCATCCAAGTATCGCATAAGCACTCTTGGTTGCAGTGGTGACTTTTAGAATTCCCATTCCAACTTGTCCATGTACACATTTATCAAAGGAGGTGAGAGTGGAGATCCCATCGGTATTCCAAATATTTGCTCGTAGATACTGCCGTTAAATGAAAATATGTGGTTCTCACTGTCAGGTTGATCAGTCGTGTTAACTATTCTCTCCGTATCCGTTCTGCCTCCAGGATGTCCTTTTCTCGCTCCAGCGAAGATAGACAAGGAAAAAAATCCGCTAAGACTAATAGTCAATAACAAGGATGGAGTAATATACAAATTAGCGAAATTCCTTTGCTTGAAGCTCAAGAAAGTAAATGACACTCTTGAATACCGTTAATAATCTATAGGCATTTTTTCAAAGGATCCAGAACATTGGTTTGGCGAAGACGGAACTGTTTGTGAGTTTCGATATACAATCTAGGTACACAAACATCTCAGGTGAGAAGGCGGTAAGCTCATTGCTGGAGATATTGGAGCGAGGAAAGGACATCCTGGAGGCAGAACGGATACGGAGAGAATAGTTAACACGACTGATCAACCTGACAGTGAGAACCACATATTTTCATTTAACGGCAGTATCTACGAGCAAATATTTGGAATACCGATGGGATCTCCACTCTCACCTCCTTTGATAAATGTGTACATGGACAAGTTGGAATGGGAATTCTAAAAGTCACCACTGCAACCAAGAGTGCTTATGCGATACTTGGATGACTAATTTGCACTTTACTCACATGGCAAGGAAAATCTAAATGAATTCCTCAATTTCATTAACCAACTTGATGAAAGAATTAAATACACAATGGAGATGGAGGAGGATGAACGACGACCCTTTCTGCATATTGAAGTCATGCGCTCCAACGGGACACTCATGAGGAGACTATACAGAAAGGATTATGCAGGAATAATCCTTACATTTCAGTCTCATCATAACTATAGACTGAAGATAGGAATACTGAGGAGTTTGATCATCTGAAGCTTACGACTCACGGACACAGAGTTCTGGGACGAGGAGCTGAACAAACTGACACGGATTTGACTTAGTAACGGGTACCCCAGAAAATTTATAGAAAAAAAAATGTACGGTTAATGAAGGGCAGATTTCAACTCGGATTTTAGGAAAATCAGATCAAGAATCAGGAGGACGCCAGAAATGGATTTGCTTGCTCTCATCAGAACTGAGCCAAAAATTGCGACTGTTACTAATGAAATGGAATATCAAAGTGATAAAAAAGTAAAAAACACTTTTTATCAAGGTGGTGGCTGTCTTATCGCCTGAGATGTTTGTCTACATCGATTGTCCTTCAAAACTTATCAACATTTCTGTCCCTGCCAGTCCAATATGTTTGATATTTTGGATTATTTGATAAATTTTATATGAATTCTTCACGATGTTCAAGTCTATCGTTTACTTTATTAAGCTTCAAGCATATAACTTTCGCTAGTTTGTATGTTGCTCCATGTCCGTCAATGACTATTAACCATAGTTGTTTTCCTTTCTTGTGTATCTTCGGTAGTCTGTAAGCTGCCGGTGGTCTTGCGTCATTTTTTCTTAGCGAATTCATCATCAATTTGCCGATTTCTCCGTTGTTATTCATTTACTTTAACATTTCCTTCAGTATTCTGTTGATCTTCATTGTGGATCCTTTCATACTATTTGACAATTGTTCCAATTGCCTACCATACTTTACATTTTCTCAGTGTACTGTTTCCTGTTAAGTACCATCGTCCCTCCTCCACTAACCACCTGAAGAACAATTTGACAATTTCTTTATAATTTTACGTATCCCAGTAAATTCTCTCTCGTTTATTGGCTCATGATGTGCTAGGATTATTTGCATTCACTTCTCTCGCTTATTTTTTGGCTGAAAACGTTTCCTTTGTTACCTGGTTTTATAATGAAAGGTTACTGAGGATCAAGAGGGATTGAAGATAAATTTACTGCCTTATCACCATCGTCGTTTGGAAAATTGATATTTACAATAACAAACGATCACAATTTGCCCGGGTTGGCTTGATCTTGCGCTGTTTTATTATCCCATATCTAGGTAGCTTCTTGTCGCTCCTCGTACTTATTAAATCTCGGTCCCTCTGTGATTCTGGTCATTCATATCCGGGAGTTTTGAAGCACCTCCGGAGTAAGAAATGTTTAGCAGACAATTGTACAGAGTCATATGAGATGTATTCAACCTATTATTTTTAAGGTGATGAAGGTGGTCTTGAAACTGCTTATATACAACAAATGGTTCAAAGAATCATCTTCACTTGTCTCTGACGAGCTTTATTAAGGTGCTAAAATGCAAGTTTCACTAACGATGCCGATGTGTTCCTCAACGTTTCCCTTACAATACAACCAAGTTGTGAAAGCTAGATCAAACAGCTTCTATATAACGAAGAGACCGCGACCATACTAAAGCCCATACCATCTTGGGTTTCATACCTTCGAGCATTTATTCTCGCACTTCCTGAAAGTTTCATAGCATATTTTTATCAGTTATGGCAATCAACAAGCAATAACTCACAGGCGCATGCCATTATGGCAAGATTAGTTGTGCCTATTTCCAAACCTTGATAAATTATGTATAGGCAGGTAAATACCGACTTTCAGCCTGTTGACCATACAGACGTTGCTGTCTTAATTATTTTGAGCCATCAATGCTGGCTTCGTAGATAGGCGAACACATGCAAGCACATACACACAAAGATACAGATAAAATCATATGCTTGCAGGTTGACACGACTGGATCTAACCAAATCAGTATAGCTCATCAGAGGTCAGATATAGAGTGTATATACAGTTTTTTATGGATCTGCCGGTGAATTTTCTTGATTCGTTGGCTTGCATTTGATTGTATGGATGATACTTTGCACTGGTGGTATTCGTAATCTGATGGACGAAAGCTTAGCACGCTATTACAGGAATAGGAGATTACCTCTGAAACAACGTCAATATGAATGTTCCAATAAAGCCAATCGTCGTTTTCTGGTGGAATCGATCTTCGAATATCTTCCCCAAACACTCATTATAAATGGAGGTAAGCTAAACCATTATATAGAAACTGGTTTTTCACTTCTAGGCTCCACATGACTCACGAGAACTACAAGAACACAACACACATGCAATGGAATACGACTACATACCTCAACGCTGCTGGATCGAAAGCATAAGTGATTTAGAGAATAATGCAACTGTTCAATCACAATTACATCCAACTCACGATCTATATGCAGCCACTTGACTTTTCAGCAATCACGCGGGAAAAGAATAAGTCATCCAACTAAATCATGAGATTCCTATCAGGTAAACGAAGTTAGGCCGGGGAAATATGTAGGATTGCAACCCGTCACCGTTATTACATTCGTACTGTCGCATTGTGTTATGCTCTGACGGTGTCGTTCACATGAAGGACGAAAGTTGTGCCATGATTCGGCGTTGCGGAGTGGTGCCCGAGTGTATTCGCACCTCGAGGGCAATCCTCTTTTGGCTTCCAGGGGGGCTAACCTACGAAGATCTTTCACTCATCTTTTCTAGCATAAATATACATGAAGTCTGTTGTCAAGGGGGCCTTACACTAAGCCAGATGGTGTGATTCCCAAAAGTATTAATTAATTCAAGCCCTATCTAAGCTATCTCCACTATGCGAACCGTAAATTGAATATCATCAGAAAGATTCCATGCACAGGCGACTAAAAGAGCTTATTTATTGTTCAAGAGTCATAGAGAACATCTAAAACCCCTTTCACATAGAGGAGCTATTTTACGTCAATAATTGCCCCGCGCAGGTAAGCTTTCTGATTACTAAGAAAAATATTCTCTACCGGCATGGCTGTAAAGGGAAATTAGCGATCGGAACCAAAAATAGCTCAAGTCCAATTTGATGTGACTTATAAATTAGATCAGTAGAATAAAATTACGCGCGACTATGTCATGGATGCATGACTAATTTTTATTCTCACTGGTAGAGTATATAGCTAAAATATCAGGCCTTTTGGTCAGAATGAGACACTTCTTGTCCTCTAGAGGTAAAAATAAAACACAAACCGAATGTTATAAAATAAGTCAGCTTCGAAACTGGCAAAGAATGAGGAACCCCAAGCGTTATGTTTAGCAAAATACGGGTTTTGGAGAACTATTAGTAATGAAATAACTATCTGACTTGTATACATTTCAGACGCACATATTCATTGAGTGAATGTTTTCTTTTTCCCCGATAAAAAACGAATTTTTCAAAGGACAGGTTCACCATGCTCACTGAAGAAAACACTAGACTACGAGAAGCAATCACCGCGATGAGGCGTGAGGCGGAGATATCGGTGGTGAGCTCCAAGAGGAAACAGGAGCTGCAGACCAAAGATGCAGAGCTCATCGATCGATTGAAGAATGAAATAGATGTCCTGAGAAAACGATTAAAAAAGGCTGTTACTGTGATCAGTCGGTTGAATTTTGAAAAGCAAGCATTAAATGAAATTAGCAACCGCCTAAGATCAAGATTACTACACTTAGACGGGTCTGAAATACAAGCTACTTGCTCTAGACAGAATACTAGCCAATGCAGCGAAGGTTTAACAGGAAATAAGTCATTTGTAAGTCAGACATTAACTTGATATAGTATTTCATGCGTTTAATGAACCAATTATTTTAGCCCCAAAAACGACCACACACTGGGCGCCACGAAAGGATAGGGAGCGGAACAACGGAAAATGAAAAAGTAAATAAAGTCGAGGCCCCGGAATCTGTGAGAGCAGCCTTTAATCTTCTTGAGGATTCTGCTTCATTGGGCGATTTGCTATAGAAACGAATAAGTTCACACAAGGATATGGAAAGGGGGCTTCATAAATGATTTGCCCAGAGGGATTGGAAATGAATAGCACACAAATAAATATACATAAGCATTTATTGCGTAAATTTCGTTATTATTAAATTGAGATACTCATGGCTGAGGACGTGTGTAAGTCACAGATGAATCAACACTATGGACAGTTGTTGAGAACGAGCGGAGATTAATCGTAGCAGAATTCGTGACAAGATGTGGCCCTGTCTCGCCCCAACCGCTGGGAACGACTGTGTTACGGTCTGTATAAATTATAAGATCAATTGTGCCTGCAGTAAAAAACAGAAATACATGAAGAAGATAGGTTCATCAATAGGCTAAACGAATTTGAGGGGCGGAAACTTAGAATATAAATTAACTTAAGAGATTAAGAGAGCAAAATGATCACTAAGGCATAGTTATATCAAACAGAAAGATTAATTAACTTAATAGCTCACGAAAACACATAGGCACATAAGACCACAATTATGATGAAAATAGTAGGCGGAATTAGGCATCTGACAGGGACAAACATAAGACATGGCTAGAAGGTAAACAGACTATCCTGCAATAAGACAGGAATTAAAATTAAATTTTCGTTTTTTATTCGGCCAGATTATTTAACTACTTATATACACCCCGCCATACAGTAGGGCATCGAGTCAATGGAGCGAATAGCATGAAAAGGAGCATTCTAAATATGGGCAAAATGACTAGTATACTGATGGATTTCAATAGGTAAACAAATTAAGGAATATAAATATATAAATGTTGTGAGCTTACATGCGGAATCTATTATAGGAAGGAGGCAAACCACTGCAAAGATCTGCCTCAGAACTGCACCAATTTCATTTCTAATTTGTACATCTTTGACTTTTGAGGCACTTACAGTAAAACAACTTTTATACTTACCTTTCTTGATGATCCGAGTGACAATTAACCTCAAATTGCCACCTTTCGATAACATCACCAGATTGCGCATTTTTAACCACAAGAACCAGGCGCTTTAAGGAATTAGAATTGAGCCAGACTAAAATCAGGAAAGATAATTCATTTACCTTTAATTTGATCGAGCATTAATATGAGATACTCGTCAAGCTCGTTGTCTGTGGTAACCAAAAGAGGAATACCGAAAGCATCTTTACGCTTGAAACTCTCCGCGGGGTATATACCACGCTGGTATAATATACTATTAACAGCAAAATCTACTCAAATAGTGATGTATTTAAGTGTTTACAAAAGTATTCACCAATAGTTTGAGCAGAACCAGATAGAGAGACAGAATTCTTCTGCGCAACCAAAGACATTTAGAGTTTAAGGATGGCGCTTAGGGCAGAGAGGTAGACTAACGACTCGTTAAAAGTGCAATTGTTATTTCAATTCACCACTAAATATATGTCCCCTAATTTAGGGCACATAACACAAGGACAAATGTAACTAGTTTATACTAATTGTTATTAGATGACTGTACTCCGTATACGCTATTAATTAGTATTAATATTACACTATGCCTAATTTAGGGGACAAGATACGGCCTCTCTTAGAAAACTTTATTTAAAAATGCTTAGCATATATTACTATTAGCAATAAGAAAATAAAATTTAGTTAATTTTATCAATATTTGTATTAGACTTTTAATGAGCCCTTACCTACAATAGTTCGCTTATATTCTGTCTTTATTTTCCCCATGGAGGCCCTAACTCCATTCGTGATATGGTGGACTTTTCAGATTTATTAAGATTTAGATGGGTAAGGAAAAGGATATTTAAAACCCTTGAATTTGATTACTATATCAAGATGGTTAGAACTAATAATGCTCACCGCCAAATTAGTTTCTGCTGAGCCACTTTTCAGTTAACATAAGATTAAAAAAAAGTTTTTATTTTGAAAAAAACAAAGCATATATCAGTTTGCCATGATCCAAAATGTCGGATAGCAAAATATGGTCGGTAAAATTGCAAGACAATTCGACTTCACCTTTCGAAATACTATTTGGTATATGTTATATTTCGTATCTTAAAGAGTACGTCGTTGACCACTTCTGTAACCTTCAATTATATTATAGTTCTATATCATTTTCACCAATATAATTCTATATTAGTCATGCAGGTTAAATATTGTTAATTATTCAATGCATATCTGAACAGGGCAACTATAGGTCCTTAAATATTTATATTCATTAATTAATTTTCTGATACTCCTTTTTTCACTTATCTATAAAGTTTTTTTAACGTAATCGATGCTATTATTGGGATAAATAACTTTAAAATAACTTATGCTTTACAGAATAAAAGATAAATATGAAGCACTTAAATTGTTTAGGGCCATTTGTGAACCAACTTGAAAAAGAAATGCGAAATCAGTAGCTTTCATCAATGGTACTCTCATGGGGCGGATAGGTAACGAAGATCTCCTAAGCTAAATACAACAAAGAAATTCTTCCGCACTATCTATTTTGTCTATACGATGCTTTTAATGATGTAAAATGAAATCCGATTTACAATCCTTTTCGATTGATGATTGCGAGGACTCAATAGCTTTTTCATGAACGACATATTTAACTGCTTATTACTTTAGCTTCCCTGCCCAGTCAACTTGACATAATTCAGTGAGACTTCATCAGAATCACCGATGTATGGAAAATCACCCTTCATATATCTGATATCCATCAAAAATCTATAGTTGATCTAGAAAGTGGGCTGAATACTTGAAATTAATCATCCTAACATTCGTTAACAGACACAGTATAAAACTCCGTAAAATGAACTGTAGTGTCGAGATGAAAAGGTAAGGACAGAACATTCTCCACTTTCTATCGAGCTATTTCACATTTCATTTTCAGTCAAACTTTCTGCTTGCATCCTTGGTCATTTCTCAATATTTTTCTCATATATGCCTGGGAATTACAACAATTAACATTGCTTCAAACCGATTAAAGGTCTGACTCTGGACGCAAATGTATTATTTTTTGGCATAATTGTATATAGTTCTTTTTGTTGAAGCCAATAATATTAAATCCAATTTGATAATGATTCTCGCTGATCTGTAATGATAAGGGTTCACATTCTTCATAATTTTACCCCTCAAGAGTATAATAAGATTTTATCGATACCATTTTATTAAAAAGTCTAATTAAATCCCTAAGGTGTTTAGCCCTTAAGCTTTGCATTATCTAGGGTGAACTAACTCATACATCTAAAAAGAACCCACTTAAAAACGAAATAAGACAAGCAAAAACAACATTTAATGTTATTTAATCATCCAATTTCGTTTAAGGTGATGAAGGACTGGTAGTTGAATTTTTCCGCAATGATATTAGTAGAGCTGACGTTTCTATTGAATTTAACATATCCTTTCTTTCAAAAAAGTTGTTCTCATCCAGGGTGGACTGCAGTTTCGACTTCACCTAGGTCTTATCAACACCCTCGGCGGAAGTCGAACCATAACAGTGCAGGATGTACACTCTACACGTTAATCACTCCGTCACATTTCTACGAGTGCCCTTGGGTCACAGGACAGATGTGAATTTCCCATATCACATTCAACTACCAGTCATTAAGCCAAGTAGGGTGAATACATCTTATATAACCGATTTACTGTTAGTCTCGAAACCCTACATATGAACGAAAAATAAGTAATGTAGTTGATTGTCATAGCAAATATAACTTTCTTTCATTAACAATCCCACCAAAGAATATGCTATGAAAAAATGCCTGGCCTTCCTTAAAATTCATATCTGCCCTATGACCTAAAGGCACTCGTAGCAATGTGGCCGAGTGGTTAAAGTTTCAAGCTCACATTCTCCACTGT